TTGCCTTGCTGAAGAGAAACAGAGAAATTCTGAAAGGTAGATGTAAATTATTTCAGAATGCCTTCTAAAAAAAAAATCCAAATGCAAATAATCAGCTTCGTTTCACTGTTTACTTTAGAAAACTCCAGTATTGAACTCCAGGTTTAAATTCATCAATTTAAGCAAATTAATGCAAAATCTAGCCCCTGTGTGTGGTTTTGGAAACCATGGCTAGGAGACTGTATGTTTAAGAGGCAGGCCAGGATCAAAAGCTTTTTATCTTTACTGTTAACTCGTTTTAATCCTCTGGCAAAAAAAGACATCCTGGCTGTGTAGTGGCCTGTGTAAAATGAAATAATGAAATCAGCACAGCTCCAGCTAGCACCATGATGTTTGACATTTCAAACACCACAACGCTTCAGATAAACTGGCAAATTCTTCCGCAGAGAGAAAGGACTTCAATGGCCGCAGAGCAGGAATGAAATCTCACCTCAAAGGACAATCCTTCCCTTTCAGGTGCAGGTGGAGATTAAAAGCCTGACATGGGGATTCTGTGCTACAGCACTTGGAGATGCACCAATTCTGTGGGTACTTAGCAGATCTCCCTTGCTAAGATCAGACCATTGAGTGTCTTTCATAAACACTGTGTTCAGTGTTAATACATTTGCTTTAAAGAGTTGCAAATGAACATGTTCTAGGCAGGATTCAGGAAGCTCTTTCCTCTCATACTTTCCAATTTTTTTCCTAAGAGATTGACAAGCAAAAAAGTGGAGCAAAGTAACCTACAATAGTCTTTAAAAACTAGCTGACTATCTGGAGGGAAAACTCTAAGGAACAATTTACATCATCTAGAATTGTCTGAGAGGCTGAAAGAAAATAATTTTCATTCATTTGTATCTTCTCTCACAGAATATTATGAAATACACACTGGCTGGGCCTCTCAGGTCCCACACACCGTACATCTCTCTGTTCCACTGCCTTTTAAAGCCAGTCCTGCCTGACACATCCCTTGCTCTGGCACCCAGATCTCAGACTGCACAGCAGCGCTATTTCTGTTTTCCAGGTACCAGGTGAAGTTGGCTCAGCTTGATTTGCAATCTTGTGAGGTCCAGGAGAAAAGAGGCTCCGTCTATACACAGCAGGAAGGGTAAATACGGTTTTTAGAAGGGCCCTACACTCAACAAGGTCCTGTTAGAAAGACTGTTGCTCTTTCTGGGCATGCCCTGACAGAATAATATCAGAATTGTGTCCATACTGTGACAGGATAACACCCTCAGAAACACACAGTAAATCATGACATTGCATTTGCTGGAAAAGGAAATTGAGATGCCCCTCTGCCACAGAGACAGAAAGTTTAACCACACTGTGGCATGGAAGAGCTTAAAGTCCCTACTGGAGAGTCTCAAGACTCAGCCCAGTGTCTCAGCCCCTGTGGGAACAGGTTTGGCCACATTTGTGGCACAGTGTGCTGCTTCAGCTTGTCACCACTGCAACTGCAGGCAAGGGTCTCTTACAGTGACCCAATGTCTTTCGAAACCACTGTCTCTAAAGAAACCACAGCACCAGGCAGTCACTCAAAAAGCTGCCCTGTCTCCCACAGGGCACACTGCAATCCACTGATGCCTTTGCTGCTGCAGCCCTGAGCCAGTGGAAGTCAGACAAGCCCATCCATACAGGCAGTTATTAAAAGATAACCCAAGCTGTACTAAAAGGCAGTGACATCTTGGCAGATGGTAATGCAAGAAGCCACTCGAACTTCTGTACCTTTCCCTCCGTCATCCGACAGTTACATTGCCAGAAGGAAGTGCAACTACCGAGGCACACCATGCTCCATCAGCCACGAAATGGGACAGAAACACCCCTGAGAAAAACCAAGGATAAAATACCACACGAATAGAGGGATGGGACCATCATTCTGACGGTGTCTTACTGCTGTTTGCACAAGCAAACAGATGACTGTGTGAAGAGAATTAAAAGAAGGACTGACAGATTTCCCCAAGAACATACCATGAACCAGCACTACAAGCATCAGGAAAAGACATACCTACAGAGGAGAGAACAGAAATTAATTTTTCCATAAGTGGTGAAAACACAGCAGGTAAGGACAGGTAAAGTACATGCACCTTATACAAAGGACGCATTTTTTCTGCCAAAAGAGTATTTTACCCATTTCTGCCTGGGAAGCACTAACTGCAACATAATGGAAATTAAAAAAGGGATGAATACAAACATCTTTCCTAATGCACAGTGCATCATGAAAGTCAAATCCTGTTAAGCCTTGACTGTTGAAGTAATCCTTACTCATGCAAAAAATCCCAATTAATTCATCAGGGGAAAATGCTGTATTAGCCTGAAAATCTGAAAACCAGCTGAATGTAAATGCCGTCTTCACATGAAGCCAGTATTATCCAGCTGACTGCATCCTTCAGGACAGTCCATTTACTTTGTGAAGAACATGTTAAACTTAAAGACACCAAGACTCTTTAGCAAGAAACTGAAACATCAGGGCACAGCAGCTGAGCTAAACTGGTGTTTACTGAAATAAAGCCCTCTCATTCCTTCCCTGCTTGGAATAAACAAAAACCAAACCCACAACATAAACTGTAAAATTTGCTCCCAAGGCTTTCTCCAAGGGCAAGTGATTCCTTGTATATAGGTCACCATTTGACTTCTTCAGAGGAAAAAAAAAACAACCATACGGGCAGCAGCGGCTGTATTTCAATGTAAGGAATGGATTTCACTTTGTGCTGGAAATGTTTGCACAGTGTCCTCAAAAAAAAGAACGTGGGAAACAAGAAAACGTGCTGCAATGAGCCATGTGAGACTGTGCACAATCAAATTACAGGAGGTAGCATTTTCCAGCGGTTCGAATCACAAGACATTGCTTCTATTTTGGGATGTACCTGGCTTACCGTTTGACCTTGGGTAATAAATGACATGCACTCTCTCTGGGCATCCCTTCTTTCATTTGTAAAAAGATGCACGGTCTGATCTGGCAATGTACTAATTAAAATAATTTTGTATTAGGATGGGAATATTTATTCAAAGGACACAAATTTTGCTCAAGCACAAGTACATAGAGACTAGAAAAATCACTGTAGTTTTCCTCATTAAGGAGCAAAATTAGAAGTTTTAATTTTTGTTAAAATTAAAAAATAAAGTTGGTTTTATTAATACTTAACAATTTATTTCTTGCATTATACATTTAAAATTACAATGTATTGACAAAACAAATAGTACCATAGAAGGACATTAGCTTACTGATGAAAACATCAGCAAGGAGACAGACAATATATGTTTTATTGGCAAAATAACTCCCCACGGTTGCAGTTAACCCACCTGCTAAATACCTTCCACAATACGTGCACACCTTTGCCTATCTGTGGGGATGTTTAACTCTTTACAGCTGCGTTAAGCATAATTTTTCACCCAGCAAGCAAACAGAGAGGAGAGTTTTCCCCTTCCTACACTGCCTGTAAGAGGTGATTGCACCTACTCTCCAAACTGTTCAGCAGTTGTTCTCAAGGATGCAAGACAAATGGACAAAGGAATTAAATGAAGCAGTAGAATGCAGTGTGCCACCTCATTCAGCTGGTATGTCACCACACCATCATAAGCACTGATACAGGCACTAGACACACTCCCCCAGTGTAAAATGAACAAACAGGGATGGCTTATTTCTCCATGAGAAACCATCCCTTCAGGCTGGCACTGCTGCATATACAATTGTGATGTGACTTCAAAACTTTCCTCTCATAGTAAATGCTGTCAGAGTGAAAAGTTGGGTTATGTTATGGTTACAAATAACATAAACACGTTTCTGGTTGTGATTGTCAGACAATGCCATACAAAGAAACAGCACACCTCTTTATGTATGCTACTTCAAATGCCTAATGCTGTAAGAATTCTTGTTCAAGGCAATCAAAGTATTTAACTGACTTAACATTCTTCATGTCTTCTCTGGATACCCTCCAGCCTCCTGAGACCTCCAGTAAGTGAATTTCCTCGGACTCCAATTGCAGTGACTGGTATTGGATGGGGCAGGGCCACTTGTTTTTACATCATTTATTTACTTGTAAATAAATGTCGCTTCCTCTCCTGGGAGGAAAGAAAGCCAGAAGCATATGAACTTGCAAATCAGTGATTAACAGAGGAAACACAAATTGGACCCGACAAGAGGACAGGAACAAAAATCTACCAACTGCCTGCTCAGATACCAGACTGACCTCTTAGTAACAAACACCACAGCAAACAGAATCAGTTGCAATAATTCCTGTGCCCTAGTCAGTGGAAGCCATGAATTGTCAGCATTGACAACGACAATATCCTGGGGTAAAATCCCGACTACTGAAACCAATAGCATGTTGAACCATAACCACATCTTGTGCTTCCAGCTAAAAGAACGGCTCTCATTCATGAAAAGCACCAAAATACAAGGACAGATTTCCAAAAGTCTGTATGCTGAGGTTAGCAAGACCAAGTGTCTCTGAAAATCTGGTTCCTTGCTTGCAAATTACAGCACAGCACAGCTTAGTACTGTATACCCAACACTCCTCCCTTTCTTACCCACTTCATCTTACGGAAATACTCTTGAAAGCCCAGGGTGGCTCCTGCCAAGTAATTCACCACCTGGCAAACAACAGCTGATGCTCTTGGCATGCCCCGGGATGCAGCGGCTCCGCTCCAGAGCCCGGCGGCCCGACCCCATCCCACTCGCCCCGCGCACTCCGCTCCCTCCTGCCAAAGACACATCTTTTAATTTCGCGAAGGAGCAGCTAATAGAGGAAGCTCTCTCCTCCCGGGGGAGCGGTCCCTCAAAGTACAAGCTGACAAGGACGCCTTTTTTTTTCCCATTTTTATTTTGTAGAGACCCGCGGCCCCGCTGCATGCCCCTCCACCGCCAGCCAGAACCGAGGGCACTGTCCCACCTCGGCAGCAACGCGGAAGCCGGCCCGAGGACCGCCGCCAGCCTCCTCGACGGTCCCCCCGGGGATGCCCCGCCGTCCCCCAGCGCCCCTCACCTCCCATGCCCAGCCGCATGCTTTCAGCACCAGGGCGGCGCACAGGTACCCGGCGCGGCACGAAGAGCTCAGTCGGAGCCGCACTCGAGGAAGGAGAGCGCGCGCAGACCTCGCTGAGCTCCCTTTAACTTGCCCAGCGGGGCGGCGCGAACTCGGGCAGCCCCAGGGGCTCGGTAGACCAGCGCTGCCACGCGTGCACCCCGGCGCCGCCCAAGCAGCGGAACGCGGCAGCGGGTGTCGGTCGTCGGCCTCGGCCGCATTCCCTCCTGGTACCGCAGAACAGGCGTCCACGACGCGGCGGGCGCCGCCCGCAGGTACGAGTCCTGGACGGGCGCGAACAGCGGCACTTGCGGCGACGTGGTACAGCAGTTGTAGGCCACTCGCCGCGCCACGCCGCCCGTACAGCCCGCCGGGCACCCGCGGGGGCCGCCCAGCGGCGGGCCAGCTCCCGCAGATGCGCTCGATGGTGGCCGGTCCACCAGCGGGCACCGCCCCGCCTCCCTGTCCGCGCTCGCCGCGGGGCTTGCCCGGTAGTCATCGAAAGGACGGTTTGGGCGAGCAGCAAGCAACGCTGGCTCTCCATCGGCCCCCCGGCGCGCCTCTGCAGCGGCGCGAGAGGCGGCGGGGCTGCCGCCGAGGGGCGGGAGAGGGATGCGAGGGAGAGGCGGAAAGGGGCGAGGATGCCGGGCGGGGGTTGCGTGACGCCGGCCGGGGAGTCCCGGCAGGTGCCAGGGGGCGGGCCTGGCACAGGGCGGACGGTCCCTCCCACGCCCCCTCGGCCCGCCGCCGCCCCTCCTGCGCTCGGCGAACGCTTCCTCGGAACGTCTCCCGGGATGGCTGTGGCTGACCCGAATCTCCGGACCGCAGAGCTGAGGCGTCCCGGCTCTGGTGTCCGGATCTTCATTCACAAATGGAAGCCCTCGCTGCACCTTTGCCTGACCTCTGTCTGTGCATCCCCGGGGAAAAGGGGTTAATTGGGTTCTTCACTCTCCCCTGCCCCGCTGCTGCCAGAGACGCTACCACTTGGCTCAGGAATGAGTTCAGGGTCTGCAGGAGAGATCCAGGGGCAAAGAAGGGTGGCCGGATAGCTGCTGAGTTATTCCTGGCTGTGGAACGGCCCCTCGGGGGCTGCTGCAGCCAAAGCTGAAGGATGTAGCCAAACCCAAACGAGGGTAGCCCTAGGACAATTTACATGGGAAGATGAGCAAGTCCCCAGCAAACCAGTAGTGGCACAAGGTCATCTTTGGCCCCTTTCCTTCATGCATGAGCCAAGTAGAGCTTATGAGGAATAGAAAATTTAGGTCACTGAATAGATTCTAGTTAAAAGAAAGGGAAAAAAACCAAGAAGAAATATCTTGAAGCAGATACTTAGAGCAACTCTTTAATGATACAAATACACATTTGTCACATCTTCCCCTGATGATGTGAACTTGTGCAGCGTAAGTGAATTTATCATCAAAGACTTATGGGCACCTGGTGGTATCTGGTACTTTCTCTGCAGATGCAGTCTCCATAATTGACAGCATTCCCAAAGGAAGGTGGAAGTAGAGCTTGCTGGAGGATCCAACCAGTAGCCACCAGTTGGCACAGCAGTAGCAAAAGCCAAAGCACTGTCCTTTGGCCATTGAAAGACCTTTCTAGAGTGTGTCTGGCTTCTCTCAGTCTCGTGCTGGCTGTTTTAACCCTCTTCCTGCCTCCTCTAGAAAGTACCTTCAACTCTGTGCAGCTCCTCACTTGCACTTTCACACTCTTTGATTCAACCCACCAATCCTTTCTCTTTCCTTCCTTTGTATGGGGTTTATGATCTGCTCAGAGACGTTTGCTTTCACCCTCTGATTTTGGTTTCTGTGCTTTTCTTCAGTGTCTTTTTGCCATGTTCACATTCCAGATACCCACTGGCTAGTCTGTGTTTGTATGGTGTTCCCTATAGCCCCATTTTCACTTACCCACAGCTGTACCATACGTTGTTTCTACCACACAAATCTTGCCAATCTAGAGCACTGAAAACGTGAAAATGCCCCACCAATAGATAAGACATCTTATTCATGCACTATTTACTGGCTCCTGTCAGCCCATTGATAAGGTTCAGGGTGTAGCTAAGGATTTTCCAGCATAATTCCTGTTAGTGTAGAGAAATGTGTTCCCTACATGCTCTTTTAAGTGAAAATTTGGGAGTTTTGTTTTTCATTCTGACACCATTTATTCCACATTTTGTGTGTGCTTGCTTCATCTTTCCAGTATCCTTTTCAGATTAAAAGGACTGGTAATTTCCTTCAGTATTCTGGGGTGGGAGATGTCTTGGACATAGTCTTCCTGTTCATGTGAAGGAATCCTCTCACTGGAATTGCTTGTCTCCCTGCATTGAATGTAACTGAGAGAGTTACCTTGGCACAGGTACCTCTTTTTCAGAACCCCAGCAAGTGGAAATGGACCCCTGCCAGTTTCAGCAGCAAAGGGTTTAAGAAAAATACAGAGTTTATGAGAAAATCAATTGGGTTAGCAACATTTTTCTGCAGGAGGGTCAAATAAGTGCTACAATATTTTTCAAAAGAGGGTGAGTAATGACATGCCAAAAAGGAGCACTTTCTGTGCTCTGGAGAGTCTTTTGTTGAAATAAAGAGAGCTTAGCCACTGTGGGGTTAGCAAGTGTCACACAGCAATCAAGCAAGAAATGAGAATGGCAGTTTCCACTGTACTTCTTTTGTATGAGTATTAACCACCAAGGCCAAAAGGAGAGATACATTAAAAAACCCCACATGCTTCTTATAGCTGTAAAACCCCCAAATCTTAAACTACTCATGCTTTCTTGTACCAAAGTTTCATGATTTCAGATGGGTTGTGTTCTGTACCTTTTTCTCTCAAACAAGCACAGCTGCAGTCCTGATAAAAATGGAGGAGAAGAAGTGCAGATTATCAAGTGCAGATCATGTGTCTCTCATCAGATCATCTGAGATTTGCCCTTCTCTTGAGTTCCAGAGTAAGTGTGGGCCTCCAGTGTGGGCCTTCAGTTTGAGACAAATGTGAACACCCCTCTCTCGCTCCTCTTCACCATTGCAGCTCCCTGGTTTGTGCTCTCTGAGCATGCCATTTCTCCTCTTTGGCTCTTTAAGTCTGATGGTCCAAGCCAAGTAAAGGGAAAAAAATTATAGATTGTCCAAGGAAGAGATATGATACTGGTGTGGTGGGTAGAGGAGGGAGCTGAAGCCTCGAAGCTCTTTGTTCTGTTTTACTAAATCCACCGTTATGCAACACGTATTCTGGAGATTTATTGTTACATGTTGATAAAATGTGTAATCATAGAATAATTCAGGTTGGGAGGAACCTTAGGGTCTAGTCCAACCTGTGCTTACAGTAGGGCTTATTGGTGTGCTTGTTCGTGTATGCTTGTTCACTTCTACTTGCTTATTTACAGATTCCTTCAGGGAATCTGTGCCATCTGATATTTCCGGCAGAGCACAATAGTCTGTCTTCAGTTGTCGTGTGGGGACTGGAGGCATCTCCTAATAAATGTCTGATTGGTTATTCTGGCATTTGTCTTGTATACTTTTTACTGATGTTACAATTTTGTATGCCTTCAGGATTTTTGGATACCCATGTGGTTGCCAGTTTTGTTCTTACCCAGTGTTCCACATTTCTCCCAAGCCTAAGGTGAAACACGGGGCTCCATACACAGTCTAAGCTTCAGTAACAGAAGTGTATTAAGTGGTGTGAACACATTAGCAGGGTTGTGCTAGAAGGTCTTCAGGCTGCTTTGAGCACACCTGCTATTAAATTCAAAATGAGTTCCTGCCCTAACTATTGAAATGAGCCATCAGTACTCTTTACTGCCCAGTGCTGCTCTTCCCTCCACAGAGAGTTTTGCCACTGCAGGTCAGCTTTGCAGTTAGCTCCTCTCCCTGCCTGGTTAGGCTTTGTCCTGGAAATCCACACTCCTGTCTGAGGGGCTTTGGGGTTTACAGGATCACCTCTGTCCCAGCCCTGTAGTCAGTTCATGTTTGATGGGCAGCTGGCCCTTGGACATTTGGCAGAAAGGAATGAATTAGGCAGAGCTGTTTCAAGTCCACATTAGAATAGAAAGACTTGTATTTCCAGTGTTCTCTGTTGAGGGCTCTTGAAGGGGAAATTACCACTGCACTGCAGAGACCATGGTAGTAGCCAAAATACAGAAGAGTCTGACCAGGAGTCATACAGTGGAGGCAGCCCCCAGGGTTTCATGGCATTGTCATTCAGTTGCCACGTTGCCCCAGCAGTTTCTGGTTGCTCAGTATATTCTGGTTTCTTACCATAAGCCTTTTTTTCCATTTCTTAGGTTGAACTACCCTGTTCTGTATGGACTCCACTTACAAAGCAACACAAAAGATCAATTGACAGTGATCTGAAAACCTGTTTTAAAAATTAAGTGCTTTTTGGCATTGTAAAATGGAATCTCTTCCTAAGTCGACCTGCTTTTCTGCTACTTGTGTATAGTTGAGAATAAAAACACAGTTTCTACATGAGGCAAGTTTTAATGTGTGTATTGCCACTCACTGTACCATTGCCACAATGAAAATTACACATCAGAAGGTGGGGATGCACTGAATTACTTTTTGCTCCAAGAGTACACTGAATTTCTGTTTAGTGCTCAGTTTCATAAAACTTAGGAATTGAACAGGAGTTTAATTTCTTTGAGACTCTGCCTTTTTTCCCAAATATGGTAGAAATTGGCCAACAGATGAGAAATTTCAGGATGGTGGGAAATGCTGAATAGATACTGGACAGTCATACATGATCATGCAAGCCTTGCCTCCTTAAGAGACAAGACTAGAATGTTTTTGGGGTTTTTTTAGGTCTTGATGTTTGTTTTCTTTCTTTTTATGAGAATGTGCAGAGAACAATTTATAGGTTTTTTTAACAAGATACTGAAAGCATGGGCAGAGGTATTCATTGCCAACAGAATTGATTTTTATTACAGAATATCACATTTTCTATTTGGAAATGTAGGCTAATTTTGGTAATGGTTTTGGCTTAGATAAAAACGTAACAGCCTTTATGGAGGCTCTGAAAAGAATATTGCATTTTTTAGTATCTCTGTGTAATCCCACTTGTGATGAGTGAATCACTGTTCAGCTGTTGACAAATGCCAGGACTTTCTGCAGAGCAGGAGGTTTGAAATTTGGAGTTTTGGTTTAACTGATAAAAATCCAACTTCAAAATGGCACTACCTTGACCCTGTCCTGAGCTTTTTCCATAGGCTTTGTTATTCCTGGCATTCCTTCCCTTGGCTCAAACCTGCTCAGGCTAACAGGATGGCAGAACTCTTTCCTGCAGACGTGTCTGCCCAATCCATAGTTTCTTTGTCTAGCAGATTATGTCCATTTTTTCACATTCAAGGTGATTTCTAATGGACCACAAGTACTCTTGTGTGCTTGTAGAGCAGTAGTTCATCTGTAGTTCTCTACCTGGTTCTGATACTTTCTAATGGAATAAAGAAGGAAAAAAATCCCACTGAGCACTCTACTGTAGATATTAAAATGAAACAGTTATTTTTCATCTCACTAATTAGTCTGTCAGTACAACATATACTGTAAATTCTAAATTTCCTTAAGTGCACCTTTTCTTCAGTAGATGTCAGTGTGATAGCCAAGATTTTAATTGTAAAATTTTTTGTAACAGCCGGAATTTGGAAGCATTTCAAAGTACAGGAACGGAAATCAAGTAGTCCATTTTGCTACTGCCTTTGTGCTAGCTCATCTCAGTAATTGCTGTGATGGAAATAATAGACAAACAAATGATGTTTCTACTTGCCAGGGCAGGGACCTCACCAGAGGGCCCACAACAGGGAGTGAGGAGAGCTGGGGACAGTGACTGGGCCCATGACAGCCCTGGGACCTTGGCACAGCCACAGGCACTGAGTAGCAAAGCACATTGTTGGGATTTCAGGCTGTAACACTAAATCTGAAAAGAAAATGTCCTGGGGTCTTAAATACAACTAATGATGGTAATGTTAATAATGGGTTTATGTCCTTGGGGAAAGATAGCACCTCCAGAAACAAGTTACCCTTTAATGATATGCTAAGGAAGTTAGATACATGATAATGGAGATGGAGGATTTCCAAGTTCTGAATCACCAAAACTAGTACAGCGTTTGATCTTTTTTAAAATTTGTGTCTTGGCCATGTTTATTGACCAGGTCTAGATATCTCAGCTTCACATATTTGAGGCACTCATAGTGCCAGGTGACATGCTGTGCCTTACAAGACAC